TGGGAGCCGCCTCAGCAGCAGCCGTATGAGCTGGGAGAGATCTTTCTCTTGCCCGCTGGCACTGCTGCAGAGGCAGTTAACCTCACTTTGGCTTTGGAAACAATGTAGGGAGAAGAGCTGGAGGCCCAAACCTCAACAAATAGCACTGCAGAGCTGCAGGCAGAGGAGCGGGCTGGGCACTGGAGACACATGAAAGCATGAGAAAATTACCCTGATTTGTCTAGAGCTAATTTGCCAGTCCTGAGCCAATACTGTTTTGTTTTTCGGGGCAGTGTTGTGCCTACACACTTGAACTTGCTAATTTTTAGGACATCTGTGTGTCCCCAGTCTCAATTTTCTGCTGCCCCATCTCCTCTAAAGCAGCGGATGGCCTCTTCCCCTGGAGGGGGACCTCCTGGCTTTGCAGTCTGTCACTAAAAGCTGTGTGAAATTCAAAATCCCTTTAACTGCAGTAACATGTGGTAAAAGAGCTGCAACAGCCAGACATGCCAAACTCTGGAGAGTAAGCGTGGCATCCTAAATTCAAACTTAAATGTCATGGTAGGACTGGTATTAATTTCTGTGTTGGTGAGAAGCCTTAAATCTTTGCTGGGACATGATGGGCTGCTCCATCATTTTGGATATCAGGTCACTCCTGGGTTTTGGTGGTGGTCACTTGCAAGGCTGAAAGGTGATGATGCTCCCTTCAGGGCAGGGGAATCCCCGTGCTAACGTGCCTGTGCAGAAAGTTTCTCCTTTTTCTGCATTCGCAGCCGGGTTTGCAGTGCTTTCCTGGCCACCCAAGGGTGTTACCTTTAAGGCAAGACTGTAGGTGATAACATAGGTTTTGGTGTTATAGAAGAATATAAATAGATATATAGAATATAAAAGAATCCTGGACATCCAGTGCCTTGCCCTGTAGTGTGTGTTGGTGCGAAGGGATGTAGTGATGCCACTTGCCTCTGTCTCATCATCCCATCAATCACTGCTAACGAGTGTGGTGCTAACAAGCTGGGTTTTTGTTGGTGTGTTTGCAACAGACCCCCTTCACCCTCACCTTGCGGCTGTGGGATATCTACATCCTGGAAGGAGAGCGGGTGCTGACAGCCATGGCTTACACCATCCTCAAACTGCACAAAAGTAAGGTCCCAGCGGAGCACGTCTCGTGTGGCAGAGGTGGCACTTTCCTGGGCCACCCTTGTGCTGCTGGCCCAGGAAGCCTTGCTGGCCACTACCAGCCTGCGCTGGCTCCGAAAGGCACAGTCCCATGCTGATGATCCAGGGACGGAATAAGATGCCGCAAGGCTTGAAATGCTTCACTCAACGCACAGCGAACTCCACCCCAGACCCTCCCAGCTGCCTCTTTCTGTCTGCTGCACCCCGTGTCTCTTATCCACACGCTTTTAGGGGCAATACAGCTTCAAAAATGACCAAAACCTGATTTTCTTACATAATATGAAGGCAGAGATGTTTCTACCTTGAGATCTTTGGGACTTTGAACACTTTTGGTCCCATAAGATGGCAGCCTTGCTGTGTCACCCTGTTGGGTCTTTAATCTGGGGCAGGAGTGATGCTGATATTGCGTGCTGGGAACCTTTGGGCCAGCGGGATTTCCAGGACTGCGCGTGTTGGCTTCTGCACGCAGCCACCCTGCTCTTCCTTCAGCTGAGTGAAGAACAGGGCATCCCAAAATACATCTTCAGGTATCCTGGTTGTTTGCAGAGACTGGGGAACAGGCAGGCAGGCAGAAATTTCAGCCTGGCTGCAAGATCATTTCTTTTCCCTGAGGAATGTGTGGTGCAGATCGGCATCCCTGCCTGCACCCCTGGCATGGGTCAGCACCACTGCCTGCATCCCTGGCATGGGTCAGCATCCCCGCCTGCACTCCTGGCGTGGGTCGGCACCGCTGCCTGCATCCCTGCCTGCTGGCTGGTGCAGGTTGGCCCCCCTGGTTGGCGGTGGAGGCTGCTGGCAGCAGCTGTTCAGTCTGACGCTTGGGGTCTCTCTCATGGAGCTTTTTCTCCTCCTAGAGGCATTGGTGAGAATTTCTAGAAATGGCCCAAAACGTGCATCCTGGTCAGGACAGGTCTCATCCCCACCACCGTCCTGCCATTACTGAGCTACTGCCCAGAGGTGGCATGGGTATGTAAAGGCACTGACAACCCTGAGCAACACTGGAAGGGTGGGAGAGTGGCAAAAACGTTCAGGACTGTCCCCCCTCAGAGTGGGAACAGCAGCAGAATCCCAGATAAACCCAAAGCAATGCAACCTATGCTCATGCTACCCTGCGGTTTGGCCGTTATTCCTTTCTGCCGTCCCCCAGAGCGCTTGCTGAAGATGACGCTGGAAGATTTACGGGAGTTTCTGCAGGAGAAAATTGCTGCTTCCCTGCAGTATGAGGACGACGCCGTCATCGAGCAGCTACAGGTGTCTATGACCGAGCTGCGCAAGATGAAATTCGACCTCCCCCCGCCAGGTGGGTAGAGGGGGAGGTGGGCAGCCCAGCAGGAACGGCCGGTGGTACTCATGTCCCCTGGGGACCAGAGAATCCCTCTGGCTGGGCTGGGAGCCGGGGCAGCCCAGAAGGGCTGGCACCTGCTGGGTGCAGCACCTGCCTTCCCCACGGTCAGGGCGTGCCAGCTGCAAAAATGAACCGATGCACAGTTTGGGTTTTGGTTTATTTTGTTCTCTTGACTTCCAATGCAGCAAAGCCTGAGGAGTTCCCACGGAAACCCCTGGGCCTGGAGCTCTCCCTCAACCCAGTAGCCTTGAAGGGCAGCATGGCAGCCAACGGCCAGAATGGCCGGATGTGCGAACAACGCCTGGATGGGGAGCCCCATCCCCACAGAGGTCCCGGGGTGCCGGGAGGAACGACGACAGCGGAAACAAGGACTCTCACCCTCCAGGGCAGTGAAGGAACTGAAGCAACAGCCACCCATCTGCATCCTCCTGGCGGAGGGCCACCAGGAGAGGAGGGTTGGGTGGAGCCCACTGGGGACAGGCAGCCACCATCTCTTCCAAAGCCAGGTGAGACACAAGCCCGTCATCACCTCCCACCCACGGCCCTGCCTCTGGAGCAGCCTCCCCTTGCTCCCAGCCGTGCTGTGGTGGACCATGAGTCGGTCTCCGTCCCCACCCCGGCCGAGCACAGCTCCTCGGACTCTTCTTTCCAAAACACGCTGAGTCCTCGTGACTCAAGCGCTGCTGAGCTTTCCGCTACGGACCACGAGGTATGGCAGCCCCATGCTGCTGCCCT